AACGAAGTGCGGCAGGATACAATTCGTTCACACCCCCTAATGCTGATGGGCTGGTTCATCTTAGGCAAGTATCTCCCAGTGACGTCACAGCTCACGGTAGAGTCCAGGATTGACCGCTCCGAGAACGCCTAGGGACTAGGCTGGGTTCATCTGATTGTACAGGGTGTTTCAAAACTTCGTTCCGATTTTTTCTTCGCTTAAATTTCATCTGATTATTGAAAATACTTTTTGTAAAAATAAGTATATTAGTCATTATCCATTTAACATTGACTAACTGAAATATTAGTAACCAGAATCTCTTTCTTTATGATTTCTGACATCTTTTAAGTGGTGTGGTATAGAATGTACGAGCTCCCAAAGCGTGTCTAAAGTCACATTTTTGGGGGGGCTCGATCTTTGTATGTTGTCTCACCAGCGATAATCCAGATGGTCTCTAGAGGATTCACGTCACGTGAGTTTGCCAGCCGGTCGTCATGTGGTATAAAGTTTGCAAATTCTTCTGATACCATGCCACCATGAAGTGTGCACCACCTTTTTTCTCTTCAAGGCTTTCCAACCTCTGTTGGTCACATATCTCCATACCGTTATGCTCGAAGCTTTGATATTGTGAAGTTGAAGTTTTATTTTTTACCTGTCTTTGTGGTTTATTACGCATATACTTACAGCTTTTTCGATAACATTTCTCACACACTATGTTAAAAAAAAACTGCCATTCACTCCTTGGTTTGTCTTCTAAGGTCTTTACTTTTGACCACTTGTCCACTCATCGTTCAGACTTCTTCAACAATTTGGCAATTTCTTTGACTGAATGGCCAGAATACCGTAAAAATAGATGCCTGAGCTCTAGTACAAACAGTGTAGGCCTTCAGTTTCGTGAAAACAAAAGAAAACGACAAAAAATACGAAAATAGAAACCCTACAAAATGGGCAGGAAAAATATGGTGGGAAAAGACTCACGTACGTGTACATTTGGGGCAAAAATTTTAAAAGTATAATATTTTGTTCAAATTTTAGTTAGATAAATTTCATACCTGAATCAGTTTACGTTTGCCTGAAGAAACATTAAATGCTTTGCGCAAAATAAAATTATTTTACAATCGCAACGAACTTTTGAAACACCCTGTGGGTCTTTTGCGTTTTGCTCATCGTTGTTATCGGTTTCATCTCTTAATTCGATGTGCACTTCACTACCACAACATGCAACTAAACATCGCATTCTCTCATAGACGTCATTTAAAGAAAAGGTCGGTGCAGAATCTCCGCACAGACGACTTGCAGCATTGCCCATAGTTTAAATACCAATGACTAAATAACGTCTGTCTATTGCCTTTTCATAATCTAGTAACGTACCCAACAGTGAGAAGGATAGTGTTTGATAAGTAAGCGTATAACCGATGAATTTATCAAAATCTGTTTGGCTTTTTGTTCGGTTACCAGGGTTCGCTCTTGCCAGGCGTTAACCTCTCCTAAAATCCCAGGAAAAGGCAGGGGATTAATACTCTTCCTCTAGTTTTAATTTTCACTTTTTCATGATTTTAAGATTCTTATGATTAAGACAATCACTTAAATTACCATAACAGCATTAGCTAAAGAGTACTAAAGCCTTCATCATTCATTTGTTTGCCTTACAGCATAATTCGATGTGAAATGCAGTTAAAAAAAAATATTTACTTCTTTGTGAATAAAACAAAGCGCGGTAAGTACAAAGCCTTAAATTTAATTTTTTTCTTTTCACCTTCAAAGTAACACGAAGACCTATGGTGCGAGGGCTTTCGCCGTCTCTGCCTCTGAGCTATGGAATCAGTTACCTGATGACATTAGATCTAGTGAAAATCCTTCAACTTTTTAGTCAAAGCTTAAGACATATATTTTTAAATGTGGCTTTCAAGAATTAAATTATATTTTTTATGATCGTGTGAATATCGTGTAAAGTGCATAGAGCTGCTGTATATACGCTACACAAGTGTTTTATATTATTATTAATGCATGCCTAACCCCACACGTTAGGGGAAGATGGGGAAGCAGCCAAACAAGACCCAAGTGCAAGATTTTACCGAGCATCATAAACTCATGAGTTTCTTGGCTTGGACAAGATGGATGCTCGGTCGATTTGTGTCGTCACGGACGATTTGGTTGAAGTCTACTACAAGAAAGCAGTTGAAGATGATCTACTATTTTTTGGCCTCTTTCACCACCTGCTGAGCCAGGTTACAGCTCTATGAAACCTTAGAATTGCTACAGAACCGTTGCCTTTATTTCGATACGATTCAGTGGTCATACCGGGTATCAGAATCCACCTCTCGGACAATTTTTAGGCCAGTTTAAGGATGAACTGGATGGAAACGATTGCATTGAAGAATTTGTATCGGGCCACAAGAAATATGGCTACAAGGCACATCAAGAATATGTATGCTGCAAAGTCCGTTGTTTTTCACTAAACAGTGATCCTCATCAACGTTTGAATTATGAAGTCATAGATGTAAAACAAAATGTGTTAGCGGAAGTGCAAGAGCCATTGGATCAACCCCGTGAAACCAGGGTACCCAAAACGTATCAAATTGAACGCGATGCGAAGAAGTATGACTTTCACACTTTTTTGTCTTTAATAAACGCGTGGTCGACCCCGACACGTTCAAGACCTATCTGTATGGCTATTATGATTGTAAACATGGAACGTGGAACACTTTATGGAACTAGATGAGTGATCTTGTCTGGAAGGCAAAAAAAACTGTTGACCATTGAAAAAAAGTTGTTTTTTGGGCTAAAAACTAGTTGTGTTTTCTCTACGTCCCAGTTGCACACAGGCTTTTCCGTGTTTATGAATAAATGACTTTGACTGCATGTATTTCCAAGAATGGTTTTTTCTTCTTTCCAAGAATCCCACGCGTGACCCCAGTTTACAGCTCTCCGTGCTATCCCACACAAGCACTTTCCGATGATGTCCAGACGCTCCCCGAATTCTTCCGACAATCTTCCGAACCCTTCACGTGATTCCCACGCGTGATCTCACGGATTCAGACGAACGCGACCTCTTCACCATATTTGCATAAAAACTCCCCAGATGCCTTACTTACGTAGGTTGGAGCCGGTCACGCTTTCCGGTCTAAGGTAGTTTGCCTCGGACATGAACCATATTTAGCCTGTCAAATATTCTAAAGTAACATGACCAATACTGTAAAACGAACTAACTCCACACGGCAAATCACGAGTAAGAAGGACAACTGGGCTATACACTCGGTACCGTAATTATATACGCAACTTTTGCAGTTGCGAAATGAAAGCCCGAAAAATATTCAGGCTTGTACGGGATTCGTACAAACCTTGCATATCCGATGATCTTCCTTCATATAGTTCTTCACCCCGCGGTTCATATATATGATTTTCATATTTTCATAACTTCATCACCATCCTTACACAGGTTTATAACGAACCAATTCAATGACCTGCTCCCAGCTGGCTTGTTAGCTCAATTGGAAGAGCGCTGCACGAGTATCGCAGAGGTCAAGGGTTCGAATTTCGTACGAGCCTGAAATTTTTTCAGGCTTTCATTTCGCAACTACAAAAGTTGCATATATAACTGCGGTGATCTTCCTTCATATAGTTCTTCACTCCGCAGTTCACACATAAGATTTTCATATATCCATAACTTCACAATCGGTACCGTAAGTAAACACGACCACTAAGGCCAAGAGCGAACTGACGTACATGTACGGAGGATTTAGAAGAAAATAATAAATCAAACCATACGTACTGTCGTACGGAAAAGTGCTAAAAAGACAACTGCAATTACGAACAAAAAAACAACTTGTATCAGGAACTGCCTTGAAAAGCGCTAACAAGACAAAGATAATTCCACATGAACAAACTATCGCACAGGAAATCCTTAAGAAAATGTTAAGAAGAGAACTGTAATACCGTAAAAAGAAACTGCCATGCGAAAAGGTGTTAAAAAGACTGGGCTTAGCGTATAAACGAACAATGGCGTGAGATACAGAAATGTGTAGGATGGTTAATTAGTAATGATTCATTGCAAACAGGCAGACTGTCAGTTTACTTTCTGTCATGCAGTCCAGCTACTTCCACTAACGGTAAAGATCGGAGGTAATAACCGGCCTTCGAAGCATTTGATCGGCCAGTTTTGACCAGCCGTTAATTCAAGCTCTGATATTTGCTCAGTGGTAGTTACTATCTTCGTCCGTTTCGACAGAGATAGCGGGTTCGCTAAAAGGCCCACTTCCTTTAGAAGGAGCAGCAGACACTTCAATGTTGTAGGTTGTAAACTCTTTGAGCCTTAACAAGGTTGCTTGCCTTTTTGGAGCATTCACTTCCTTGGTTTGACGAATAAACTGTGTAACTGAGTATAATACCATTTCTTCCAGCTTCTGGAACGTAGCCTCATTCCACCAAAATGCTGGCAGAACTCAGATTGTGTCCCTGGACACCATCTGAAAAAGCTGTTGGCTCTGAAAGAGGTTTACTGTTTTGTTTTGTTTTGTTTTTTTTTAACGTTTAAATCTTTTATAACGTGCCTTTATTTAGACGGATTGTACAACCCACTGTGGCGCAGAAAATGATGGATTGAACGAACTTATTTCGGGTGGCGAGGCTAGAAAGCTCTCCGTAAGCGCTATGTTATTATTATTATTAATATTATTAGTATAGTTATTGTTATTATTATTATTAGCAGTGCCGTTTAAGCGTTCAAAGATGCCGCTTATTTTGTTCGTTATACCAAGAGTTAAACAATAAAACTGTGGCGTATCCTCAAGTTAAAAATGGCAAGGCTCATTAATAGTGGGATATGTTTTCAGTCAAACGAACGTAATTTTTGCTGCGGATCTGGGCTATATATAGATATTGGGACCAGTTAAGGTATAAGTAAGATCTGGTTTCTTGTGTATCAAGTTAGTATGTAAAGTACTGTGGTAGTATAGTATTAGCCTGCAGGCCAGGCGTTCGAAAGTGAATGGGAGGGGAATTTGAGCGCGAGACCGCTTACACTACCGAAGTTCCCTTTCCCTTCCCTGTCGAGTATTTGAGAGGTCAGGTTTCTCCTGGTTAGTTGACTTGGTAGTGTGCAATGCCCTATGGGCGGGGACAAGGATGGGAATACCCAAAACCAAGTCAACTAAAGAAAGATATATAAATATAGGGAGTGTTAGAGTAATAAATCCTGTTTGGATTTAAGGGATGAATTGCTTTTTTTTTTACAATTGAAATGCTGAGCAATAATACATGCATGCAGGATTATGGTGGGTGAGAAAAATGGGACAGACATACAGACACTGCGGGATAATCGGTTGAGCTAAACCGACCAGCTTTACGTGAAACGTACATGTGTGATTTGGGAGTGCTTTGCACTTGAGAATGAAAAAAAAAAAACGCAAAAATAAGCCACTTTGTCAGCGCTGATCTACATTCAGGTGACAAAAAAATTCAGCGCTTGACTTAATATACTTACTGTCTGCATCTGTAATGACAATAATGGGATCACTTCTGCTGCCACCTCCTTTAGCAGTAGATGCAAACACTGTAATGCTGTAGTTAGTGTATTTCTTCAATCTAGCCAATGTAGCATTTCTTCTTGGAGCAATCACTATCTTCGTTCCTGGATTACCACTGGGCACCTCTGTGTAGGTGACTGTATAGTTCACTATAATACCATTTTGATTGTCTGCTGGGACTTCATCCCACTTTACAAAAATGCTGGTAGAGGTTACGTTGTTTCCTGTGACATTAGCTGGGGGAACATTTGGTACTACAATAACAAAAACACCAACAACGTTTCAAAAAAACAATCATAGCAAATACACTGAAGTAGAAAACACTGAGTAAAGTGAAAGCCCTTGTAAACATCCCATAGGAAGCAGAAAAAGTGTCCATAACTGTAGCTGGCTGCTGGAATGGTTTTTGTAAACAGAGAGTTTACACAAGGTTTTGTCAAGAGTTACATGTTAAATGACCTTAAGGTGTAGCCTACATGTATAAAAGCAACAAATAGCAGTTGGACATCAAACAATGCCCTATTCAAATTAGCTCATAATTAAACACAATGATTGGACAGATCATCTAAATTGTGCCAGAGACTCTACACTGTTTCAAAATAAAACAAAAAGTGAACACTTTGACTCATACACACTACTGCAAAACCTTTAAAGAACTATAATGCACTCAGGTGGTGGCCATAACTTAATAGATCTATGAGTGTTCAGTACATAAAGTAGCATTTACATCTTTCTTTAAGACATACTTAAAAAATGCAAAAAATTTAAATATGTACAACAACAAAACTTAATTTACAGAAACTTCATAGTAGTAGCCTGAAAAAAACCGCCAATATTCTGTGACACCTGCCACTGTTTTCTCAGCAGAGTGGTGTCTGAGGGACAAGCACAGAAACTCCATACTAATGACATGTCACTATCCAGATCTGGGTAGTGCTTTGAACAGCAATTGGCTGAAGCAAATTCCCTCAGGACACAACCAATCAGAAGTACTACCCAGATCTAGGTCATCAGTATAGAATTTCTGCAGTCATTTTGGGGGAAACCAGTGGTGGCTTCGTAGAATGCTGGGTGTGTTTTCAGGCTAGAGAAACAAAAAATTTATGTAACAAGCATACCTTCTTCATCTGTGGTTGTGGTGATTACTGAGCTTACAGCACTGGAACCAACTTTGTTATTAGCAAAAACCCGTATGTAATATGTCTTTCCAGGATGAAGGTCTACAAGAGAAGCACTTGTGAAGGAGTTTGATACCACACAGCCACTACTTGACAGCCCTGAACATCTAGCCTCTGCAAATGCCTGATTATCTGTACTGATCTCTACAGTGTAGTTAAGAATATCACTGTTGCCATTGAAGCCAGGTGTCCAGGAGATATTCACAACTCGTGAGGTCTTAGAGATAACTGTCACATTCTCTGGTGGGCTTGGGACCACTACAAAAAGAAAACACATGCAGTGCAGCAGTTTCTTTCAACAACAGTTCGCTCGAGAAATGAGCGAATGCTAAAGTTATGGTTAGTGCCCAGTTTTTCGAAACGTTCATCTAGAAACGCATGGTAGTTTTGGGACGTGTTTTACTCGTTGCAGTGACAAAGTTTCAAGATAAATTTGGACGTTTGGGGTGAATAAAACAGTTCTAATAGCCAAGATAAGTATTAAATATGTTTTTCCGACATGTATTTCGAAATATTTCTGGCGAATTTCGCGGTTTTTCGCGTTTTTGGGGGAATTTCGCGGGTCCGTGACCGCGCGAAATATCAGAAGCCCTGTATAATAAATGCATACTCTTAACTGCCAACGAGCAGCCTTACGAAGATGCGAGACCGCGAGGCGGCAGCCAAATAGAGCCGTGCGCGATTGTTCCAGGGGCAGAAAAAATCTCGAATCGATGTAACATAGAGTAATGTAAGGCAACCACGATGTAATGCAGAACAGAGAATGCCTTGTTTTCAAGCGAACACGCGATACAGTTTAGAGAATCCACCATCCGTGTGCGTGTTTGTGAGTCCTGAGCTTATCCTGTCTTCAACCAATCATCGGGTGGATCATTTCCATCCTACGCGATAACTGTCGCATTTGCCCACTGGAATTATTTATTGCATGTCGTTATAACGCAGCGAAATTTTTTGTGTGTTTGTGAAGCAAAATAATTCGGAAGGCTTCATTGGCGCACCATAAATTTTTTTAGCTTTAAAAAGAGACCAAATATAAGTCTGTCAAGCAAAACTAACTACGAGAGAATGACCATTTGACTAACAATAGACGACTGTTTAACTGTGACAATAGACGGATCGAAACGCACCAATTACTGACTACGAGTCTTCATAGCCAATAACATTACGGCTTAACTGACAGACGACCAATAACATCATGACGTAATTGACCAATCAAATCGATAACCAGAGTATAATACCATCAACTGACGTGATACAACTCACTTTGACTCTGAAGATGACTACCGCACAGGTTGTCGAAAAGTCAGTCACTGTCAACAACAACAGTCCTTTTCAGGACTACGCTCACCCGGACGATCAAACTCAACCTACCTTTGATAAGTCTGTATGTTAAATATACGCGGACTTTAATATGACTTTTCGAGGATTTTAAGTTTGCTTATAACACCCCTTGATTTTACACAAACGACTTGTGCGCAACTTCAGACAAAAACACAAACTTCAATATCTCGAAAACTTTGCTGCGTAAAGTCGGGATTTCAAATTCCTTATGCAGTAGAACAGTTTACTTCACTATTTTCAAAAGACAAATTAAAGCAAGGGACACACATACACCAAACCCATGATCCACCTTCCCCATGCATGTCGTGGGAGAACTGTCGTGCGATTCCCAGCCAACATCTCCCACATGTGTTGTGTGGAGCTGGCACTTAAAGGACTCGCCTTGGCAGGAAAGGGTCTTTTACACACAACTTTTCCCCGGTCACTGACTGACGGCTATGCCATGCTGATGAGCCCCAGTAAAGGCAAAACAGCTGTCCATGGCTTCCACTGCCTGCGTGATATGGCTGTGCGCAGGCATGAGGTAATGGTCAGGCCGTGGGTTGGTGTGTGTGAGCCCCTTGCTTTAAGTTTGCACTAGTAAGTTCAATCTATTTTTCATCAATTACTGTATTTCATGACATTTCTACACAAATTCAACAGCGCTCATATAGGTAAAATCTTCGCTCGTTGGCACTTAGCGATAGCTATAACTAGTTAATAGACTTTCTTGAGTTTTAGTTTCAGTCAATTTTGTACGTAGCAAAGGTGTTCTGACAAGAGATCCACAACACCTACAAGTACAATGATGTACATTGTACATGTAGCTGATATTTCCATAGTCTGTTCCATGCAGGCTCCAAGATAGTGGGAAAAAGGGTCCTTCCCTATCTCACTTTTCCGCTGCTTGCGCACTTTTTACAGTTCTCGTTCCCTTTTTTCACTCATCTACACTGACCAAGAGCCTGGCACAGGCTAATGCTTCCATCATTAGAAATAAGGTCTATCGCGATATTGATGCTGCATGTAATAAATATTCACACTAGCATGAATTCAACATAAGGCCTGCCAATGTTTTGCTTTATAGTCAAGAACAGACGGCAAAAAGTTAGAGTGTAAAGCATTATCACAAATGTTAGGAAAAAAGTGAAGTACAGAGAATACCATAGGCTTATCATTATATGAAAGCAAAATAAGACATATGAACAAAATATCAATATTATCAAAGTTGGATAATTAAAATCTGCAGGATTAATTACTGTAGTAAAAATTCGAGTGCACGAAGTTGCCTTTTTAGCTTAATAACCGAATCAAAGGCAGAGAGGAAGAAAATTTAGTGACAAGCGCTAAATGGTTTTAAAATACTCAGAATACTTTGATTCATAATTAAAACATTAATTGATCATACATTCTGGAAGATTTAATACATGCATGACAGTGCACCTGTGTACAACGAAAGCAGAGTTGACTTGTACGTAACTCAATTATCTCTTTATAAGCAATAAAAATAATTATATAAGAATGCAGTTTCTCTATAACAAAAATTTGGGAAAGATATGGTGTAGCGCGGTCTTGAAAGCGCTTACCTCCAACAAGGATATGAGATACACCGTGAGAATTCTTACAATAGACCGACAAAGAGTTGTTTCAGCTCGCTTATGTGTCGTACTTTTCGGTACATAATGTGTGGAAAATTTTAAAAAATATATGTATCTACTACAAAAGGATGAGAGTTTAAGATATAAACGACATGATTCAAAAGGTGAAGTACATAAACGAGAGAAACCCGACTGTAAATACACAAACGTAAAATTATTTCCGCTTTGTGAATTCAACGAATAAGTAGTAAAAACTTTTGGTTTCAAAATCGAAAAGAGTTATTACCCGCCTTAATAACGGGCGAATGGAATACCAACAGCAGAAAGAGAGAAAACCAACAAGACGAATGATATTTTAGGACGATTCTTCCTGCAAGACGTTCGTCCATATTTTCAAAGCATAAACTTGACGGAGCTGAAATGTTTTCTCTCCCCTCCCCTGAGCGGAAATCGAAAGCGAGGGTGGCATATTAGCAAAGTACTTTGTGAGGTCACGACTCGAAATAAACCGCACATTTCCATAATTAATGCCCTTAACAATGTTAAAATTTGTCTAAAATTCGTAACTTCGACACTATTTACGTTCATTTCTAAATTTCTTGAAAGGATGCAATTGATAAAAAGTGAATGAATCGGCTCAAGTTGTCGGGGCATCACACAAGGAAATATCACGAACAGATAGTTCAAGACAAGTTCTTGATGTAACGCATTCCTTTTTTAAAAGACGGTAAAAGTCAAAACAATGACATATATATCAACAACTCAAGTTATGTTTAATAAAATAACAATAGTTTTACTTTTCTAAGGTCCAGTATCATGCTGTTTTATTATTACTATTTTACATGTGTTGGCGTGAAACGAACACGCGATGAACTTTTTATTCAAGGTGACGACCCAACCATTATAAAGCCGGATTAACCTTTCTTCACACAAAAACAGATCGGAAGTTCTAAAAATGGAGTTTTCAAACCATTTTTGGTAAGGCAATTGTGTCGTATGAATTATTTCTTTAAAAAAGTCGCTTAATTTTCACCAATCATTCAAAAAGTAAATAATTTGCTTCTGTTAGTTTCATCCTGGGAAAGGACAGGATGGCTTCCGCGGTCTTCAACCGAATACAAATATGGCCAAGAGGAATGAACCGGAATCGGTTCTTGATACTTGGCATTTTTTTGCGCTTCCTTTCTTCTTATTATTATTTATTCATTTTTTTCAAAATAATTAATCTCCGTTGGAAAAAAAAAATTAAATCAGTTTTGCTTCTATTACATCCGGTTTTTCCATTAAAAAAAAAAATCAATAACTAACAAGGGCTGAGGAGATGTCGAACCTTTGAAAAGTTTGTATAACTTTAAAGGAAACCGAAAAAAAAAAGCTTTCGCTACTCACACCTTGGTGTTTAAGGGGCTGCGTCATGATAGTGCAGTTCCTTTTGTTTAATTTTGCCAATTAATCGCCCTCAGTCGCTATGGAACTTGCATAGAAATTACACGTGAATGACAAAATCAGAGATCCGAGACAAATACATATGTCTCCTGAGCATTATTTTTGAAGTTGCAAGCAGCAGGGATCAGGATCATCTTTGATAGACTGTTAAACTGAACAGTTTTCAAAAACCCTAATTTCAATCCGTTTCAATCAGTTTTGCCCATCCGTGGAATATGTTGTTCCTGTTGTGATATTTTAACCTTCCTTTACTTTTGTTTCTCCTAATTTAAAGGGCATTTTGTAATTTTGCTAATTTGGCTGAGTTTCGTGACACAGATCCTTTATTGACCGGTTTGACGGAATACACGGATTAACGGTAGGATAATCCGTCTCAATAGAGATTTTACGCGGCAGCGACGACGACGTCGGTGAAAACATCACTAGTAAAAAGTATTTGCGTTCTTTTAAAAACTTCATCGCGATTGTAACAACCCATTTGACATTTTGACTCAGATGAACACGAATTTTCCTGGAGTTTAAATTACAAGAAACCGCATTCAAAATAAATAAAAAGGCAGAAAAATTCTTCGTATGTCCTACATAACGTGAAATTGGGTAATTTCACGTCGTTTTTCACGGACAAACGAGACGGTCCTCATTTTAAACGAAAAAAAATCGTGATTTCATCCTTCTGTCTGTATGTTCTGGGAAGCGTAACTCAGTTCATGTTATCAGTGTAGAGCTAGCGTTATTTACCAATAAGTAATAGTATATCCAGTCAGCGTATTGAGGTTATCACTTGAGAGCGAAACGCAAGAACTTGTCGCCGTCTGCTTGTGCATTAAGTGAACTTGCAGTTCTTCGAGCATGGGAATCTGTAACAGTACTGCACACGTAAGTGAGTAATGGTATCCTTAGCCTGCGCAGTCCA